CATGTTCAGGAAAATTTCATCAAACCTACAAATGTTGGCAGACTGTGGATTTCATAAAAAAAACCAAACCAAATAATATGCAATTTTGAATCAAGTTTGTCATCCAAAAATCTTGCCGATTAGGGCAAAGAAACTTAGTGCTTCCATTGTACCTATACACATGAAAAAGGAAGTAAATGGAAACACGATTTTATGTTTGGCGAACTGAGACTTCCTGTCGCCTTTATTATCTGAAAGAGAACAAGAACAATGAATTGAGTAGAATAACATGAATCTGTTTGATGTTGTATGGTTCTCATCAGCTTCTAACCACCAGTTATATATTATAATTCGAATTATTTTCAAGTTTGCATACCTATAACTATAAAAAAGTGTATGTATCACCATGGTGAAGTAGTGAGATCGAAAACATGTAAAGAATGTTACAAAAATAAATATATTGTATTAGAGACGATTCTGAATCATCGGACATATCACTCCTAATTAAAATTACTGTATCTAATGACCATACCATATATCTTTAATCTCATTACTTCACTATGGTGATACCCATGTAAACTTAAGCATAATTCTAATTTTAAGATATTACTGGTGATAAGAAGCTGATGAGAATCCTACCAAATTAAACAGATTCATATCATTTTACTCAATTCTTTGTTCTTGTTCTCTTTCAGATAATAAAGGCGACTGAATGTCTCAGTTGGCTAAACATATTTTTCCATAAAATCATGTTTCCATTTACTTCCTTTTTAACGAAACCTCTATTTATAGTATGGTACATGAAATAATTCGGCTGCCTATGCCGTTCACTGGGGGTAACATGAAATAATTTGCGTTTATGTCTGATATTAGGGTTTCTCCTCAGTTATGTACATATGATGTTGGTAATTATCGAAAAGAAGAGTCACGACTATTATATTAATATCCATTGATTGTAATATTTGGACGCAGAGTTTTCTGATACATACGATTGTTGAAAAGTGATTGTGATAAACATGTTTCAAGTCTCAGCATATTTGGTATTTGATCATTTGTACTTTTTGTGTCTATATACTACGCCTTACTTGAGTAGTGGTCATTCACTTTACATTGTCAGATATTCATGAAATATTGGACTGTATAAGACTAATTTAGTGAACTGTCTTTTTGTTATGCAGCGTATAAGAATATTTGCAACTCGTTGAAATTACCACGAACATTACAATTAGAAATGTATGGTGTAATTTCATTGAGATTGTGTCCAACAATAAAGCTCAGGAAGCAGGTTCCACTCTGTTTGCAGCTCAGCAAATAAATGTATCTTAATGCCTTTTTTCGTTCTCTGACCTGGACGACCTAATTTTGATATTCTTTTGAAACGCAAACACAGTTTATATCTCCATAAAAGCTGAAACACTGTGTATTGAGCTGGATAGCCGCTAACAATTAACGCAAGCAAAACTGTATATGCATATAAATTCGAGTTTCAGTTTTCCCACTATTGATGTTAAGGGTTTCATTTGATAGCAAACCAAGTTTATTAAAACGATGTACTTAAATGTGATGTTGAAAGAGTTCGATTAGGATGGATATGTTCTAATAGGGACTAACCTAAGTAAAATGTTTGGTATCGACAACAAATAAGCTCAATTCTTGGTGTAAGTGATCATTTTGTTGTCCTTAAGTGTAAGTGATCATTCTGTTGTCCTTAATTTCATTTAATGCTTACTACATTTGCGATAGTAAAATAATATCTGACGGGTTTATGATTTCTGTCACGAATGCTCTTCGTACTCGACATCTCAGATAGAAAAGTAAAAATATTTTGTCATAGCTCATCGATAACAAGCGATTACGACAGAAATGTATACTTTAGTCAGTTTGCTTGTTTTTGGTTCTGTTTATTCAAGAGTACTAAGCTTATTTATTCTATTTAAAAAGTGTATTCTGATTGAAAGTTGGTAAGAAGGCCTAACGAGGCATAGAACAGCTACTGACTGTCACTTAACATTGTATCAGTAGCAATATTTTGTTTCATGTTATCAAAGAATATCCATTCACTTTCTAACTCTCTTTAACTCTCCAGCCTTGATATTACTTAATACTATTATTTCTGCGCTTACTTCCTTTCACATCATTCTGGATGGTTTATAAAAAATTGACATTATGTACATAGTTTAGCGATAATTTTTTTACCTAATGAATAGGAAGAAAATGTTTGAATAATAATTCCAAAAAAAACTAATGACAACTGATCAAAGAAAGAGAAATTTATGATATCAGTAGAAATGAGTGACTGAAAATGTTACCTACGTGTACACAGAGTGCAGACTTCGGTTACCGGCTATTTACATATTTATGAAATTTAACTAGTTTAATCATTTGCTCTTAAAGCTCTAAATGGTTTGGATACAATTTTTATTGATAATCCTTTTTGTTTTACTTCAAATAAACTTAAATTATTACAAATGAAAGTCTCGATTAATTGTGTAAACCAACGTACAGAAAGTCTGTAAATTTAAACAGTGATGACTTTTAGTTATAATATAAGTTAATTCAAACAGATTGGTGTTTGTTATTTTCGCAGATCACTAGTGTCATTTATTTTTTACCTTATAACTAGCAAGATTCTGTTAATTTCTGCGATTTTCATCATTTAAAACTTTCAAGTAATCGAACTGCTGAGGTTCATTGACCAGCACCTTTTTGTTTTATAAAAATAGGCTAACACTTCTGCCTAGTTATACTGTGTGAATATAGTTCACTTGTCTATGTTGGTATTTCGCTGAGTTTAAAAATATCCCATATTTATTTGAAGAAAATTTATCATAAATATAGGTATGTCTGTAATAAAGTGAATAACACGCTCGTTTTTCGAGAATAAAATACACCCTAGTTACTCGACACAATGTGCTTTTATCATACTGGTGAAATAAAAAGAAGGAATTTCTCAAGTTTATCTGTTGTTGTAGCTTACAGACAGTCGAACAAAAAAGAAATTTATTTAATTATACTCGTAGTGTTGACGGATTGTAAAGATTAGGAAAACTGCGTTGAAAAGCAACTTTGACTTTAATCTCAATTTTAACTACAGATGTGAAATTAGTAAATCGTTTGTTTATCTTAAAGAAATCAAGAAATATCTGTATCCATCGTTGCATCTTATAAATATAGTATAAATCTGCAGTCTCTTGTAGATAGTCTTAATTGAAAATTCACTGATTATTCCGGACACCAAAGATTCTTGATTACACTCATGTTAAATATGTATTGCAACGAAATAACCTTACTCCTTCCTCCATATAAGCAGGATAATTATGAGTGTATTGTATTGAGATTTGGCTAACTAAAACTTGAATATAGCAACTTTCTGTAAAATTGAATGGAAATAATGATCACGACTACAAATAGAATAATATAATGCATTCTCATCGATAATCAACAAATTATGATTGAACACAAATCCAGCTAACAATAACCCTAGTATCCTTCGCTATTTAATGAATTACCCTGTAAGATAAAAAGTCCATCTTGTTTTAGATTAATGTGTAGGATGTGTATTTGGATGGCGACCATAGGATGTCGAGTGTCAGTCATCACACTATTATAGAGGTAATCTGAAATGATTTTTTTATTTACACTTTTGAATAACCGGAGTTTTTTTATTACACATTTGAAATCATCAACCAATCAATCAATGATTGTTAGACCACCATTAGAAACCTGAAAGCACTGGACGGCTGTTTCTTCCTGGTATGAGACTCATCAGCAGTGCGCATCAACGACTCCTGCACCTCTCAGGATTCGGACCCGGGACCTTCAGTATTGTGCGCGAACGCCTAACCACCGGACCACTGGGCCGGTATCCAACAGTGTTAATGTCTAACTCTGATTGATCTAAGGATTTTGCGCGACTTCACCCATTTGTCTTTGGTAGTTACTGTCTACACCCGACAGGGTTGAACTCCATTAGTCACGTCTTCTCAACTAGAACTCCGAGAATTTCCTCACGAAACTAGTCACTAGTGAGCCCTGTTACGATATTTTGGGGCAGAGTTTTGGCTGTTTTGTGTTTTTACACATTTGAAATCATCAATCAATCATTGTTAGACCACCATTAGAAACCTGAAAGCACTGGACGGCCGTTTAGTCCTGGTATGGGACTCATCAGCAGTGCGAAGTTATTTGTATTCTTATAATGGTAGATGCCTAATGGTGATCATTTACAGTAAAGCGAAAGGAATAAAGAATAAATAACGTGCTTTTTTTTCCAAATTTCTTATCAAGTAATTGCTGCATAATATGATTTAGAAAATTATTTTATCTGACAAAATGTTTTTGGTTAGATAATTAATTCAGAATGGATTGAAATTAAGTTGTTTGACGTGAATCAATATATTGACTTTATGTTTATGTGTCATTAAACATAATTAAATTTTGTGTGAAATTCGTTTTAGCTAATAAGTTCAATAAAATTTTCTCAACTTTACATATCAAATGATTTCAAACATACTTGTATCTAAAGAAAATGAAATGCTTATAAAGCATATTACATATCACTGAGAGGGTAACTCTAGTCATTCTCTTAAGAAACCATGAGAATGTGAGACGAATACCACTAACTGAAGGTGTCGATGGTCTCAGACATAGACGAGATTTAACTTAAATAAGAAATATAAATCAATGACTATCAACTCAAGGACATTGGAATAACGTCCTAGGCACGAGTTCTGGTGATCATGAGTTAGGTAGTCTAATAACTGGTAAGAGGGATTTGTGCGTATACACAAGCCAGCACATAGGAATCGAACCTAGTAACTTCGTACTTGTGCAGGGACCCTGGACTAGCATCCAGCAGTATTGAAGCCAGTCACTAGTGGCTAATTAGCTCAGAGATAAGTCGTTCGTGCGCAGTTTCACAGTTATTGGGTCCAGTTTCTCTATGTGGTCGTGAATGCATGCACATGTTACATGCACGCAGATGAATAATAGCTTACTTCATATGAACAAAGTTTACTTACTGGTTGTGAATAAAAGCATAATTGTTGATATTCTGGTGATTTCAATTTGATTGAGTTATTCCATTCATTAATGTTCAGTTGATTTATATCACTTTCATTGTTTAAATAAGATAATTTATTAATTGTTTGATCATAGATTAACTGTAAATCTTCAAACTTTTCATTCGTTACATTATTGATAAATTTATCATTATTATGCGTACAGTTCAAATCTGAAGCTGATGAACAACACCTAGAAGTAGAATAATCCAAAGGATTTAGATCAATTTGTTCTTGAGAATTTGTTGAATACAAAATACTTATTGGTTGTATACAATTAGTAGTTAAAAAATTTGTAGAAATAGGCTCTAAACGTACAATTAATGGTTGTGGAAGAATAGTACTTTGTATAGTTGAATAATGCGAAGAAATTGTAGTAGTAGTAGTTGTTGTTGTTGGTGTTGTTTCATAATGATTATTTACATATTTGGTAGATGGTGTATGATATTGTAATGTTGCATAATTTATTGTAGGTGTAATGTTACAAGGTGTGATTGAGTAGTTTGGAATTTCACTTAATAAGTTAGGTAATAATGGATCAGTATTATTATTATTGTTATTATTATTGTCATCATACAAGAATTTCGTTCTAATCGGACTCATGCCTAAAAATGAAAATAAAATGTCATGAAATTAAAAAATATTAGAAAATGTTTCAACGTTCGAATCGTATTTTGACGCTGACATTAGAGTTTTCATTTCAAATAATTTTTTATTTTTAGTAATCACTTAATTTAATTACGGGGTTGTGAAGATTGTCAAGTTACACATTTTTGAAACCGTGAATCGATCAATGTTAGACCACCATTAGAAACCTGAAAGCACTGAAAGACGGCCATTTCGTTTCAAGTTAGACATTAACACCGTTAGATGCCGGCTCAGTGGTCCGATGGTTAGGCGTTCACGCACAATACCGAAGGCCCTGGGTTCGAATCCTGTGAGGCGCAGGAGTCGTGGATGCGCACTGCCACTGTTGAGTCCCACACCAGGACGAAACGGTCGTCCAGTGCTTTCAGGTTTCTAATGGTGGTCTAACATTGATCGATTCATCGTTTCAAAAATGTGTAACTAAATTTAAATAAAGTTTCCGTAGAGCATTGTATGGTATTTTAAAAATCATGATAAATCAACCTTGATTACTGTTGGCAAGTACTCTAATAGATATTTAGAAATAAACTCGAATTCAACATTTCAATAAATGCATTAATCCATTATGGTATTAACTTACGGGGCTGTTGATGAGATTATCAGATATATGGAATGAAACATTAACCATTTAAGTAGTTGCAGGTTTACTAATCCTAAAATATCGAACCAGTACACTGAATCATTTTATAACATAAGTTATCGTTGTACATAATCTCAACTAGTTGTAAATTCATAAAAGTATCGGCATAGATCGTTTTAACTTCTTCTAGAGCTTGTTATTTATTTATTCAACCTAATCTAGGCTGTCAAATCAAATTTACAAAACACTGATTCAGTTTGTTAATAATGCTTCACTTTATAGTGTACGTTTTTCGGCATTTTAAAATGATCGTGATTAAAAATAAGCATATATTTCAGTTTTTCTGTAACTGATTATAGGATTTGGTGCTTACTGTTTAACTAACTTCTCTTCAACATTTAACTCGTATCCATGCACCTTGTGTGAAGTTTTATGTTGATATATCTTTTGACGATTCAACATAAGTTGGATAATAAGCAGCGTCGACGTGATTTATAGATAACTAATAGATGACAATAAATGATTTCCCTAGTTAAAGATATCTTGAAGAAATAACGAAAACCGCATAAATGATAACTTTATTTTTATTAAGCGAAGTAAAACTCTATATGTGCAGGTTATACAAGAGAAATGATTAAACGAATGTATTCCGGTAAGTCAAGAATAGTTATACATTAGAGAAGATTCAAGAAAAGCTCTGCAAGACCATTCTTTTGAAAGCACCATACTCGATAATCACAGAAAGTCACGTTTAAGCCTGTGACACGTGTGTATGATGCATCATACAGGGCTGACTGATAAGGTAAATAAATATTTCTGGTTTCGACAAAGAGGTATCTCTTTCATTTAGGCTCTCATTAATATATATATAATTTTAGTTTTTGTTAACAGTCAAGTCGAATGTAATGCAACTCCTTTAGTATCATCATAATATTTCCGTAAAGATATTTGATTATTTGATCCAGTTGAAAAGATATGATTTTAACATTGAAGATACTTCGAACATTGATCGATTGATGACTGACGGTACTCAAAATGCTGTTATAATCGATGATCTTGTAAAGCCCATAACATAACCCAAACAAAAATCTGAAAGCAGCTTTCCGACCCTTATCTATGTGCATCAACATAAGCAAATATATGGGACAATAAATGTGATGAATAGCAAGAAATATTATTTGCATGACACTGGCAGTTAAGTTATGTAACGGATTTATTGATAAACGTGTACGTAATTTACTAAAGTCAAGAACATCACTTACATCTGTATTTCAAGAACCCTAAGCTGAGTAGAATGCAAAAGCTTTCTAGTTTCCTTAAATCACCAAAACGCTTAGATAGTGGATCATAGTGATGCACCACTTGGACATACACTTTATAGCTTGTTCAAAAGAATTCAGTCATCAATATGTAATCGTCAACATGAAATTGACCATCAAATTTTGTGTACACACATTTGAGTATTATGAACTTTCTGTCACTGATCGAACAGCTCAGTGATAAGGTGTTCGATTGAGATACTCTAGCAAAAGTTCCACTGGGTGCGTTAGCTTTCTCAGCTTTATGAAAACTCATTTCTACGGAGTTCAGCTAGTCAGAAACCTGAAGTCCAAGATTATTGTTGTGTGTTATCGACTATCTGACATTAATTATAATAAATAAAAACAATGAATATTTTGATTTTCTACGAGATCTAATGAAAAATACAGCCTAGTCGTAGCATTTTGCATAAATTAAAGAATAGTTAGCTTCAAAAATTTACTTAAAGTAATTCTGATTGATGTTGAATGGTTTACACTTTTGAGCACGAGGTCATTGGATTTAGAAATTATGTAAAAATAAGCTGATCATCATAATCATCAACTTCAAATAACTACATAGTCATTACATAAAAATTTCAATCAAATAATTTTTGACTAGACTTATCGACATTTTTTTAATGCAGTATACTTATAGGTCACGGCGCTAGTTCAAACACATAAACTATATTAGAGATAACTGCAACAGCTAGCACTATCATTTATTATTGAAATCCCACAGGGGTTGAAAAAAATCCTCATTTACCTTTGATAGTTGTCAGTAAAGTCATGAAATAAATTGAGGTAGAAATTCAACCCACATTTCAGTTCTTATGTAAGATAGAGTAATTATCAGATGACTCTGCATATCTAATTAATGTAGGGCAGTTAAAAGTAGATGTCAGAAACTCCTGAATCTTTTGTCCCTCATATAATTTGAAAATGTTCACGTCAGACGGGCTACAATTTCGTTTTTGCAGGTTAACGTTCATTTACCATTAACGTTCTCATCAATTTAAGTATTCTTTGTCAATCAGTGTTATTGACTGCAAAATATAAGTCCAGATTTTTCATTCAGTAGCATATGAGGACCATGAACAACAAATCAGACGTCATCTTAACTTTAATTTATGGGTGGATTTCACCTGAAAGATCATAACTGTAAACTGAATCAAACGAAAAACCTAGTAAGTGTAGACCCTACCTTCTTACCACGCAAACAACCAAAGAGTTATAGAAATAGTTTGTAAAGGTAAATATGATTATTTTGTTGGCAAAATCTACCAGCATTTATGAAACTTACTCATATTTTGAGAGCCATCTTCACTAAAAGAATAATCTTTAATTTCATTAGGTCCATGAGCATCTTTTGACTTTCGCATAAATAAGTTATGTTTTATCTTTCTATATTTAATAATACAAGCTACAGAACACATTAAAATAATTGATAATAGTATTGATGCTATTGCTGTCGATAAAATTATATAATTATTCAAAGAGGAATGAATACGATTACTCCATTTTGAATGGGTAAGATGGTCACTTTCCCAATCTCCCGTGTCATCAGCATCAGCATCATCATCCAGTTCGTAATCCAGTTCGCCTTTTGTTTCCGATGGCGTAATATTGACTGGCTTTATATGAATCGATATATAGGAATATTTTGACATGGGGATGCCTAAATCATAAGCCTTTATTTCAATATTTATTATCTTGTCTATGTCTGATTGTGAGAATTGAGTATTTAAACGTAAAAGGCCACTGAATGGATTTAATGAAAATAAGGAATTCTTTAATAATTCATAGTTTTTATCCGACTTATTTGAGGAAAATGCATTTTGCATAGTTCTCATTTGATCCTGTTCAGTATTGTTCTGTATAACTTCGCGGGTTATTTTTAATATTTCATATCTGACAGTACCATTTATTCCTGCGTCGTTATCGATTGCAAGCAACTGAAAAAGTAAGCAGATATAAATATGATAATATAGGCAGTTTTTTTTCTTTTTCATAGTAATTGTATTTTATCAAATAATTTGAAAACAGTTTAGATTTCATTAACGATAATGAGACAACAAGAATAATAGATGTTTCTAATTATATGAATACAATTTTTCAACTCCATTTTTCTTCTCTATCCGATTATGAAAAGTACGAAATGACAATGAGAAACTTACTGTTAAATTTCCAAGTTTTTTTGTTATTACATGAACGAATCAAGAGATTCAAGATATTTTTTATTATTTTGACTATTTCATTTCCGCGAAATTCGAAATACTTGAATTATGGCTATTTACATTTTTGTACATTTCATAAATCATATTAGTATTGATATTGCGATTAGTAACTAAATACATCGTTTACTAGTGAAAACAGTACTTTTCACTATTCGGCCTAAAAGTTTCAAGTTTCATCAATCTAATTTAGTTCAAAGTTGAGCAAAATGTCTGGTGGGTACATTATTCATAGGATTTAATAAACTTAGGAAGACAAAAATCGTTTTCAGTATCACACTGATATTATGCAGATGAAATCTTTTTTCAGGCAGAGTTTGGGAGGTTTGAGTTTTTACACATTTGAAATCATCAATCAATCATTGTTAGACCACCATTAGAAACCTGTAAGCACTGAAAGACGGCCGTTTCGTCCTGGTATAAGACTCATCAGCAGTGCGCATCCAAGACCTCTGCACCTCACAGGATTCGAACCCGGAACCTTTGGTTTTGTGCGTGAACGCCTAACCATTGGACCACTGGGCTGGCATCTAACGGTGCTAATATCTAACTTTGATTGATCTAAGGATTTTGCGCGACTTCACCCATTTGTCTTTGGTAGTTACTGCCTACACTCAACAGGGGTGAACTCCATTAGTCACGTCTTCTCAACTAGAACTCCGAGAATTTCCTCACGAAACTAGTCACTAGTGAGCCCTGTTACGATATTTTTAGGCAGAGTTTTGGCTGTTTTGTGTTTTTACACATTTGAAATCATCAATCAATCATTGTTAGACCACCATTAGAAACCTGGAAGCAATGGACCGTCATTTTTTCCTGGTTTGGTTTGATTTAAATAGTTTGACAAATTTAAAAATTATTTTATTTTTTGTTTAGTTTATTTCACATGCACTAAAATGTGAATGTATTTTCGCCAATGTTATTTATTTTACAGACAGCTATAACTTACATTAAGGCACAAGTGGTAAAATGATAAGCATTGTGTTTACATTCATTACGTGAAACACGTATGAGATTCTTAAGTTATGCTGAATGTGAATTGTTAACTTGTTTAGGTTAAAAATGAATTAGGGTTGTTTAGAATTCTGTAGATTTTCCTTACATTAGAGAAAAAAGTAAAAGACCCACTGAAAAACACTTCTGTATTGCAAATTGGTTCGAAGAGACACCTGAAATTTACCACAGTGGTGTGATATTCATATTTACACAGAGCAGTTTGATCACACTTGTCATAAAGTTGATTTACCTCGTCCAGAAAATGAAAAACTGACAGATTAATTTAGTGGGATTACAAAGCAACATGACTAATATTGAAATGACATTATATTAAGCGTATACGATATGTTCAAAATAAAGAGAACAGAATAAGTTCACTGTAATCACAGATTTACTTCTTCTTACAAAGCCGACCTGAGTTTTCAGAAAAGTGGTCGGTAAATATCTATTGGACATTACGTTGACTGTATATGTGAGCTACTGTATAGTTCATTTTTAGATTAGTTTGAGAACTAGTGACTAACAAAACCTTATAAGCGAACAAAGATGAGTGTTCATCACACATTTCAATTAGTTAAACGCTTAACTACATTTATGCATTGATCAATGCTATTTTCTGTTTACATCTTGTACATGATATTTGTATTTGTGGTTTTGATTATTGTGATTGCCTTGTAAAGGCATGAGAGTCATATCAGGGAGATATCTAGAAATTTAAGTTCTGAAAATAGATTGATACTGATTAGCTTACTTGGATTTGCTTTACCCTAGTTTAAGTATGCTGTCACAGGAAATATCTGCTTTAATTTTCGCTTCATCACTCAAAAACGGACATTATATTTTCGTAATCACATCAGTGAATAACAATCGAATTTCAGGTTGAAATATGTCATTATCGAAGTTTTTATGCGGTTACTTCGATTACTTAGTATTTCAGGCAGTTTAATCAGTCTTCACCATCTGAAGCACAAGTGTGAGATTGATTTGTCGACTTTTATTGTAATGTATGATTTTATCCTAAATATTACTTTTTTTGTTATCAGGAAGTTGCATACACTCACCGTAATCCTTACTGAGCTGGTAAAAAAAAAGTCATACAAAAATAATTTGATGAGAAGTTAGAAATCGTAGTAGAGTTTCATGAGCATCCACTACAATTACAATCATACATTTTTTAGCGCGATAAAGAAAAGCAAACGTTTTTAGATTGTGAAAATATGAAAGGAGAAGACATCTTATAGTCAGTCAGTTGTAAGTAGGTCCCATACAGTTTCACTTTCTGTTACAAAAGATAAATATGCAATAAATGCTTTCTTCATGCTAATTTTGATGAGAAATATTATTTTTATACGCTTGTTGTCGCTAAATAAAGGATCGATTTACGCACTATTTCTTTGAAAATTATTGACTAACTTGAATTTGTTTAAGCCAGAAACTGTTAGTCCATTTTATAATCTCTCATTGTGACATTAAAATATCTTTGATTTATATCATTTTATAGTGTTGAAGGATTACTAAACCAATAAGTGACATTAAACTACTTCAAATAAACAAAAGAGTAGGAACGATTGAATTAGAGGCATACGGACGCCTACAAATAGGAAGTAAACGATATGTCTTTTTAGTTATGATAGAGAATTCACGACAAGTATCTACATTTAAAAGTTCTAAGGAAGGTGAAAGGGATTTTTACTGATATCGAGTAAACTATATTATACAGAGATTAAATATTCATATTCGTTTCATATCTGTTTCAAATATTTATTATTTTACTACAACTACGACTATTACGACTACTACTGACTGGAATACAGCATATCATGTTTTTTTTCCCAGTTGAAGAAAAACAAATACAAACTTTAATGCTAATCATACTTCTTGTGTTAAAAAAAATAACGATTCAGTCTACATTCATCTATGTAACATTTACAATTGAAAATCGTGACTAGTTTTATATTTAACTGAAAATGTAAATTCCTTACTAAAGGACAGATAGGAAAAAATGAATAAATTATCAAGTCAGCAGCCAAAATGAACGATAACTAACCTCTTACTGCTATTATTGCTTCATAGAAAATTGCACAAACATATGCTTGTTAAACTATAAAACACTTTGATAAACTGTAAATCTGGGAGTTTTATAAATTTTTTTTACCAAACAGAGGTGGTAAACTGAATATGAAAACAATACTTTTTATAAATTTTACTTTCAATTATATTCATCTGGTTGCACAGAAAACCATTTATGAAGGATAAAAATAAACATTTTTTTAATAACTTTCCCACCAGTCTACTTAATAAATGTTATGAAATGTCTAATAAGTGACAATTATTAAACAACTTACCTAAAAATAACTTATAGATATTTTCTTTGTTTAACTAATGCAGACTAATAAAGATAAATGATATTATGCCATGGGACATTAAGGAAAAAATTTCAGTGAGATTAATTAACTATATAGAAGTATAAAACTCGTTTGCTTGGATGTGAATGGTAGTTATTGCATTTCGATCTGACAACATTTGCAAATTGTGTTCGTTCATATTGCGTGCTACTGACCTATCAGTGATGGTTTTCCGGAATAAAAGAATTATGTTTCACCTAATACAAAAGAACCTTAATCTGACATTTGCTAATATTTACTGAAGCAGTGTTTTTTTCTTTGTCAGACGTTGATCTATCAGTTTTAGGTGGTTATATCAGCATTTGAATAAGTTATTTGTTCTGTTTTAACCTCAGGCATTTCAAACTATGTAATTTGAGCTTGTTGATCAGTGAATTTTTAATTACTCAGTGATTTACAAATAATCTGTAGCGTTAAGTTTAATGTTATATTTTTCGACGAACAAGTACATTAAAAACAAGCTATTTTCGAATACGTTTTCATTTGTTAAAATGACTGAAAAATTTTAACAGGTTGACTAAAACAACTGTTATCATTTTCTTCTGAATAAATTTATAGAAGACGATACAAACTGCCAATAACACATTTTTTAAGGTCGTCCTTTTAAAGAAGTTTCATGAACATCAACTTATCTGTACTTAATCAATCACGCTATTTTTGACCTGATACAATTTTTTTTCTTTTAAACACCTCAATTTGAATAAATCTTATGATTTAATTATAACCTCATTATGATGAAACATTCATTTGAAATTCTTCATCTCACCTACCTTATGCACTCTTAATTCACATTAAAGTTATAATCATTTTTTTTGCGGGGTTACAATAGAAAATATATTTTGTAAATCTTTCGTTTAGCTTTATTTTATTGGCATTTGCAAGCATTTTAAAAGAAAATTTAAATAAAATCACTTGTTTTGATGACAGTAACAAGTCAATAATAAGCGAAAAATTATTTTTTCAACTATTACAGAAGATTATTTTTTATTGTTTAGTGAGATAATTGTGATTTTAATGATGGTTTATTTATTTCTCAGTTATTATTTATGAAATTAACAAAGGTAAAATATGAAAAAAGTGGATCTACTATGCAGCCTAAAATGTTGATTTACATTTGAGTCAGTTTTTAAACAAAAAAGGGAGAAAGTACTTACTGTACTTACTATTGACTAGCTTTAAGAAGACGTTTTTGCAGTGCTAGAGAGATGTTGAGACCAGTGGATCTAAGCGGTGTCGTGTGTGAGTCAGTTAACTACCGAAGAGAACAATGGATGGTCGCTTACTAACTTGAACTGTAATTGTATACCACTGTATACAAGCTCAATCACCTACAGGGTAAGCGGTCGTGCATGAGATGCGCATTGATGAGGACTGCCATATGAGACCGATAGTCCAATCCATCCAGGTTTTTAATGGTCGTTTAGCTAGTGCGTGATTTAAACTTCGAAAAACACAATCTCTATAAACCTGATAAATGGCTATTCGTTTCTTCAAAGATTGGAAAGGAAGAAAAATATCTCAAGAATTATGATATTTCTATCTGATAAATTGAATGCTGTTAGATCAAACCGCATGAACACATATAGTCTATCGTTATTTATTTAAATTAGATCTAAAACAGAAAGGTTTATATTAGTATTTATACAGTTAAAACAAAGGTGGTTCTAACATCTAACCCAGCTATTTTTATGTATGATAAAATATATTTGAATGAAAAGGAGTGAAATGAGCAAATATGAGGCGTGAAAATTGTAAAAACTCAAATTTAATGAGGTGATAAAACTTGAAAACTTGTGTAGTACTGTTAGTGTTTTTGTGAACCTTCAAAGAAAGTCATAAGTCGCTAAAGAAGGTTATCATGCTGACTTAAAACATAGTTTACACTGGTAAATATCAGTAAACTGTCTATTGGTAGTTGACTCATTTATGAAACAAAATAAATCTTTGGAACTAATGCACATTCTCTGAGAAAAACTCTAGTAAATCAGTAATCCAATCCTACATGATCATGATGAATCTTTAGGTGTTTTCGTCATATTATGTAATTAAAGCCAAATCACGATAAAAGCAAGAGGAGAACAACTATGAAGTTGAAGGAAGGAAGACATTTTTATTCAAAGAAACAAAACTGCAAAGTAGATGTAGCATTTTAATTTAGAATTTTATTTTCATTTTCCGTACGATAGATTAATTCCTTAAAGTTTAGTATACAGCAACAGAAACGCAACTTTTTAAATGAATCAATATGCTAAACTAAACCGATTAATTCTGAATTTGGGTATGATTTTATAATCCGACATACGCGTTATTGCATAACGGCAATAAGTAGGTTTTATTAAACTAACTGTATTATTTACTTAACAACTGATTTTACAGTAAATTAGTTTAAGATGTGCTAGTTTTTTGTATACGGAAGTTTCACAAACGTTTCTAGGAAATAATCGAATAGGAACTTTCCAAAACTTTCAAAATGATAAGCATATATATATACATATAAATTTTTATACTTAAAATACAATGGGTCCATTTATTCTATTCTCTTAATGGAGAAGTAAATTATTAGTTTGTGAAGTTTAAAAATTAATCTCTTTACTTTAAACATTGAGTTCGCACTGTTATTCTCATTTCAATTTCATTTATATGATATAATCTAACTTATGATTATTACATTGTTTATGAACATGACAGTTAGTCTTAATTACAGATTATTGAACTGAAACTGAAACTTATCATGTAATTCAGACAGTAAGAGCTTAAACCTCCTTCCATGTAGGTAATTTTGGCTTACACTGTGCTCTAAAAAGATGATTCCAGTAGGATCGATCTCAATCAACAACTTAACATTCATAAAACCCGCAAACCTATCAAAGTGATTTCGGTTATTTTTATTCTTTTCTATCGTTTTCTAGTTAGAGATGACTAGACCTACTCTTTAATGCATCATAAGTATGCCGTAGTCTACTTACAAATGATTTATGCTCCCTGTCTTATGCTTCATACTGATTTTGTATGTGTGTCCCGGTCTAACTTCATTTACTTGTCTATTGCATGTAACAAAGACATTTGTATGAACCTGATTTTTCTGTAAATCGACATTGGATTCGCTGATCATTTTGGAAATATATTATTTGATTAGTTTGTTAAATTATTAATAAGCAAGTTGATAATTAAAATCATGCTACCGAAAATTATTTCAGATTTATGATATTTAATTTATGTATGTGATTAGTGTATTGTTGAATGTTTGATTAGAGCTAGTAGAAAGAAAACAGTTTTACCGAAACACGAAAACGCGATTATTTGTTAGTCACATAATGATAATAATAGTAATCAGTGTTTTAGGAATTGATATTGTTTGTGTATGGAAATCAGTTGCAATAAACATGATCGATAATTGACAATCTAGTCAAATACACAGAAACATTTAGGTTACAGCACGATTATTTAGCAATACGCACTATAAGCTCACAACTTCATTACAATCGAATTCGTTTCAATTTTTTTGATCCAATTTTAGGAATTGTGAAGAGTTCCGATCAAAGATTCTAACTGACTGGTTCATTTAGATAAAGATGTGAATATTGCTATGTTCGTGACTTGATATGCTTGAAACTATTACGAGTTCACCTTAGTCGATAAACGAGAACGAGACAATGAACCAGTGACACGATAGGCTACTCTGACCCGTTACCCCAAACCAACTGAATAGAAAGTCTTGATGTGGCGTAGAAAGTGTATTCTACAAACACCCAGCAGACACAACGATCTCAAGCATCCAAATCGCCTTTGTTTATACATCTGAATAACGTCCTTGAGAAAGTCGAAAAATGGCTTACTAAAATGACACATCAACCAATTACAGCACAGCTAATGATTTTCTTCATGGGAAATGTGATCTCAAGGTCAGCTGTTAGTGGGACATAAATGGATGGGTTACAACATCAGCTGACCAGCCCATGAATAAAATCGAGAATTAAGACATTTATCAAGTGAGTTCCGGGGATCTAACGTCCCCAACAAATGTGTGCTGGAAAAGTTTGAAATATACATCGAATATTAGTTTATTAAACATTGTCAAACCTTAATATCAACAAATACTGGATAAAAGCATTTTAATAAAGTGATTTTATCGATTGCATCTATTCATTTACAGGTAGTAAAATAATGCGAATATTCGTTGGGAAGCAGCGAAGTAAGTAATTTTTAATTTCAGCAGAATAAAAATTTTATCACTATATATCAGCTACTTAATTGTTCATTTTAGTGTGAAAAGTAGTAGTAGTAGTAGTGCTAGTAATAGTATTATTATTATTATTATTATTATTATTATTAGTAATAGTATTAGTAGTAGTAGTAAACTAACAGTATCCTAGGCTAAAAGGAATCAGCGACACTGTTAAGTCGAACAAATGAAAAATCCCACTGCAATTTTAAAAAGTAATTCATGCATTTTTTTAATCATTCAATAGATTATGTTCTCATTCTGCTAACAGTAAAGCTATGATTTTGTTTTAATATAGACCATTTTATTTGAAATGATTATATTCATGTAACTGTGATAATTATTTTCACAATATATTATTGACTACATTCCTATTAAAAAAATAGTTAAACCACAGTAATTTCATCTCAAATGGTGTATGTTCAAATTGAAATACTGAATCGTATAGTGAGAAAATGACGGGAAAAAATAAACTACTCACTTTAATAATTGGATATCGTACTATTTCTAAGTAGGACAGTTCAATCAAAGTATGATCTTGTTTTGGTGAAATAAAATATGGTTCATTATCATTCTCATCATCAACAATAATGTGTATTAATGCACGACCACGTTGTTGCGGTTGACCTTGATCCTCACCTACAATCCAAAATTTATACATCATAATGTCTAAGTCATGAATAATTTTCGAAGATTTACTTTTCATTCCATATGATTTATGAGATAATGCAGATGAAAATTTAGTTGTTCTCTTTGTGTCTAACTTTTGTGCTAATGTTTCACGATCAATTATACCTTTTGTATATATTTTTACTAAGTAAGTAGCTTTCTGTGTATCATAATAACTAAGTAACTCAAATGGTAATTGTAATTTAGATGATCTATTAGTCAGTTGTTCATTGGTTATATTTGATGTTTTTGACAATGAAGATAAAGATATAGAAAAATCATTAGCATGATAAATATGTGTATCGTAAGGCATTGATTCAATTACAAAGTTAATGAATCCATTACTGCCTAGATCATGATCTGAACAAATAACACTTCCAATATATTGATTCAATGGATTGTTCTCAATCATACGGAATTCATATATTTGTTTTGTGAATGTTGGCTGTTCATCATTATAATCACGTATGTTAATTTTAATATTGATTGAAGTCGATAAAGTTGGTAGACCACAGTCTTGTGCAACAACTGTCAATTCATAGTGATCACATAGTTCTCGATCTAGATTCCCTTTGGATTGAATAAGTCCAGTTAATTCATCTATATGAAAATGATTAGTAATTCTATGGTCATCAATTATTTGATATCTTATTAAAGCATTTATTCCAGTATCATTATCTGTTGCTACAAGTTTGATAACTTCATAATGTATCTGTTTCCTTTTAGGATCACTGTCTTCTATTATAGCTAAATGTAATTCACTGGAATTAAACATTGGTTTGTTATCGTTAATGTCAGCGATTTCAACGTGTATTAATTTATTTGACATTAAACTTGGTGTTCCATGATCGTAACATTCAACTATCAATTTAATATAGTCAGTCTGTTCACGGTCAAACGATACGGATGCAGAAAGTTTATAGATCATTTCAGATTGTGACCATATGTTTTTTTCATGAGATAATTCACCACTGTGATTCTTGAATAAGCCAACATTAGACATTGTTCCAATATTACTGTTAGTTATTATTGGTGTCAATTTAAACTGATCTCTATACTTTTCTTTGAGATAACATGAAATCCTACCATTCAAACCATCATCTTTATCAGTTACAGATATGATAGCAAAATCTAAAGGTAAATTCTTTGAATGTTCAAGTATACTGAGTGTTGTATTGCCATCAAGTGATTGGAATGTGATTACAGGTGAATTATCGTTAACATCAATAACTTTTACAATCAATTTTGCAGTTGAATAAAAATCTGTTTCAATTTGTTTTGAATTATAATTTATAGAGCTATCATCATTGAATTGACTTTTCATTGACTCTTTTGAAATGTTCACTTCGAAACTGTACGGATTTCTTGCAATAATTGGAATGGTATACAATGAACATTCTCTATGATTTAATTTACTCTTTAGATATACAGAACCATTTTTAGGATTTATAAAAAAGGTTGCTTTAATCGAATCGGATACTTTAGAATCTAATTCGTAAATAATTTGGCTGTACACATCTCCCATATCTAGATCGATAGCTGAAAATGTGTATATTGGTAGTGCAGTATTGAAATTTTCAGCAATATTAATTTCTGTATAATTAGTGGTAAAATATGGCTTATGATCATTTCTATCTTGTACTTTAATATTCAATTCCAAGAAGCATCGCTGATTCAACATACCATACTTACTGTTTGCTTCTACGATAAGATGATATTCAGGTAAAATTTCATAATCTAATGCTTTTGTTACAAAAAGGCTTAATGAATATGGTTTAATCAGTGATCCGGTTGATGATATGATCAAATTAAATGGTAAATCGTCTTCACGTAATTCAAGTGCTGTTGATTGATTTGTTGCAGAAGTTTTATTTTGTTTGTACATAAATATTTTATTAGAACTAATCGTATGATCTGGATGAGCATCAAGATCACAAGGTTGATGTAATTGTATGTTAATATGTGAATGAGGTTTAATATCTTCAGGTAAGTAAATAGTCTGTTTAGAATCAGGTGTAAAAGTACAATAGTTATCATCAATATCATTTACAATTATATAAATACGAATCACTTCAATGATATCAATGATTTCATTCATCGTTTTGATTAAACTCACACTGAATGTTAATCGACACTCATGTAAATGAGAAATGTTGTATAAATTTAATTCTGTCTGTTGATGAATTTGTACATTTGATGAAATAAAATGATGTTGATGATCATTGATATCATTGTAAGGACAAAATTCTTCTCGATCAATTCTTTTCGACACATAAATTCTACCATCCTCTGGTGTCACATGAAATAAATATGCATGATCTTTATTAATTGGTCTAAATAGCAAATGTTTATGTTGTGTAATAAGATAATTTGGAATATATTGAATTAAAATTCCAACAAGTGTAGTATTTTGTTGTTCTTCATGCATTTCTAAACGTACAACAATTGTACAATCAATATTGACAATAGATAATATAAAAACACTAAATAATTGACATAGAAACAGTCTAGAATGTAAAATTGTTTTATTACTTATAAATTTTGTTTTACGTATTTGACAAGTTCTTTGTTTTGTTATAGTAATAGTACATAGAAGTTTTGATTTATATCGTTGTCCTATATGTTGGTTGAATTGTTTTTCAACCTTGTCTGGAGCCAAAATCATTACGAATAATCATGATGACTGTGTGTGAGTTTGGAAACATGATATTTGATCCATTTACTTTTGGAAATCTTTCATATTTTCACATGGTAATTTTTTTTTGTTTGGGAATGAAAAATGTCCAAAATCACTGTGTTGTTATTTGAAGCGTTCATTGAAAATTGAATTGCTCTAAAAATATTAGCGAAAAAGCTGAAATTATTAAGTAACAATTGTATGCATACAAAAAAAATGAATTTCAGGAAAACTCGTCATTTTAAGAAGCCACCTGGAAATCATTCAATAAACTAATGCACATGATTTTCCAAATTTTGATAGAACAATGAGGGGACATGCTTTATCAGAAAACTGTGATGTATTTACGCAAAACATTTCGAACAATCTGGTCAAAAATATATAGTTGTCAAAATTTATAAAAATGGAATTGCTTTTAATATTTTCGAAATTATCGTATACACTATGATGTTATTGTAAATTATTCAAATCGTCTCACTATATTGGGTGCTCATTTGTTCAGGCAGTGGTATATTTTAATAATATTCGAGCACATCATCTCAGTTACACATCTTATACATCATTGAAATAAAGAAGAGTGTTTAGTGCCTATCATGACTTTTGAATGTTGACTTAACACACGTGAAGGAAACATCATCCGGAATGCGTTTCAGAGCAAAACTATTTGAATCCAGTAAAAAATCGATTCCACCTTTCGCTGACTCTAGAAATCAGGACTTGCATCCCATATATTTTTGTCTCTCAGAGGTAGTTTGTATACAGAAATAACAAGTAGCATGTCATGATTGAATAAAATAGAATCATTGTACATGATCAAGACAAAAATTGGCTGTGAATAAAATAGAATCTAAGTAATAGATTGAGGAGTAATTGATCAGTTGAACGAAAGCTTATGATATAAGGAATATAATTATTATATCTAGTTACTCAATAATTACACAAGACGATTCTGGGAGTTACAATCCTAATGCTTAGTGAACTTATATAAATTTTGTAGTTCTTCTTAGCAAAAACTTCTAAATGTAGAGAGGCGCTCGAAAATTATTTTACTGTAGGATAGATAGGTAAATAACCTCTTTCAAGATATTAGGCGTTCGTAGGCAATCATCAGGATAAAGGTTTCCTAATGGTAATCTATAACATAGATGGGAGCTATTCTTCACACAGGATTCAAAACAATACCACGCAGTGACAAGATCAGGGGGGCTACTACAGAGCTACTCTTGCTACCGTCAATGATGCTGGTTTGTAAACATTCAACTTCCTTGAAGAGTACTAGTTTCATCATAATTAGAAACAAATATTACCGTAAAGTGCCCTTTAGCAGATAACAACTAACTCCAGAACATTTCTAACCACCTAACATTCAAACATAAGTCACGAGATGTCAAGTGATTACGGCAACTTTGTTACTAAATCAATAGATTTTGGTTGAGCACTGAGGATTAGACAAATACGATACAGGCTACTACATGGTAACTGTTTAGTGTACTGGAAAAGTAGTTTGTAGGTCCCTAATAAAATAATATTTTACAATAATAGTACAAGAGATTATAAAGTTATTTTTGAAGATTTGTTAAAACAATAAATTATCCGTAGGATGAAGTCCAACTCTGTAGATGGATAAAAAACTTTAAATTCCTTTTCAAAAAGTATTTTTGAGTAGTTTCGTTATGATAATGATATCTTCTGCGAATCATGTCAAAACAGTGTGATTAAGTAAGATGAGTAGTGTAAAGTGATCTGGTTATGGCATACTGATAAAAGCATGAAATTTTGTCTAGTAAAAAATCACGTGTTTAGTAAGTTCTAAACTGAAGATACATTTCTCTTGATAACTAAATCATGAACGTCTTCAGGAGTAAAGAATTAACTACATGTATGAATGTGAAAAAATTAAAATTCTGAAATTTTTTGAAAACCTCCGATCAACGTAATAAAACCACTTTTAAACAATTTTTGAGGAATTTAGTTAATTATTTAAGCATATAGAGATTGGTGCAAACGAATACTTATGAGGCACATAAATTACTGAATTTTTGAGTGAGCTGGGGTACTGCCCAGCTGCCCAAACCAGACTAAGTGGTTCCCTTACGAGACCATTTCTTGAGCCTCTGGCACAAAACTTGAATCCATAAGGCGGTACAGCGACATAAGAAGACGCGGTCCCATAATGAACAAGACAGGTTATTTAAGCCATTCGTTCCATCAGAATAATATTGCGCATGTGCGCCATTGGTTTAGAATCAGGATTTTCCAGCCCCTCTAGCTGAATCCTGTATCCAATAACCTGGTACATGGCACATATTTGTTTTGCATCTACTCAGTTTCGTAAACAGCAACCTTACTGTAGCATTAGCCATACATCTGACGACATACGAGAGCGTTTCCAGAGGAAGAGAGTTTTCTCCTCACTTTCGACCGTAACATAGCTGAAGTGTAATCAAATCGCCTTCATAAAATTTATTGTGGCACTATTAATAGTAACTCAATAAATATAATAAAAAAGTAGAAATCGACTAAGATTTTAAAAGAGGTTATTTAATAAAATCAATTATAAAAAGTACTCAACTAAGAGTAGTGACAGTAGTTTTATGAATTAAGAATAATGTTAACATTTAGTATTTTAAAGAACGATCGGTTTGATTGCATAAAATCGAACGTGTTTTAAGGAATCAATTCTAATCACTTGTTAACTTTATGATTATGTAAATCACTTAATACTTTAGTACGCTTGATATGTTGATTAATGTATTCATTCATGTGTAATGTAGAAGAATGCATACATTTAGGGTGAATATATTATATAAGATACTGTGTATACTGAGTATACTTAACATCAATAAATTTTTTTTAATACTATCTGTTGGGAAATAAAAAATGAAGTAGTTCCTGTTTAAATAAATCCCTCAAGGGAATACTGGAAATTAAATTACAAAAGTCTGGGAGGTAATTATACATCTCATTTTTCAAAGATCACTATGTTTTTGTATTAATTTTATGTATTTTATTTCGATACTTAGACATTTAAAAAAAACAAACCAAATTTGTAGTTTCTTGCATGTTTTATCACACGCCACCCATAAGGAGGAGTTACTGGGTTATTCTGCTGTCACGTTTTACTTGACCGCTGGAATATTAATCCGTCAACATGTATAAATTAATAGTTAGACACGAATATTTTAATTTTTAGAGCTGTTCAAATGCAAATTAGTTATTTGTAGCACTAGAACTAAAGACGCTGAAGGTAAAATCAAAATAGAACTATTTTAGATTCTATTTAGAAGCCGGCGGAAAAGATAAGGAAACTTGAGACTATCATACAATCCAACAAAGAAGCTGTCTGGAAATATCGTAAACCAGAACGAACAATGAAAAGCAAGGAAGGCGTTATAATCAGCAGCATGGAAGCGCAGTAAAACAGGTGGGTAGAGTACTTTGTAGAACTCGAAGCATCAACAGACCTCCCAATAAATGTTGACTGCCCAATAATTAAACAGATCGTCATGGCTGTCAGACAAATCAAGAGCGGCAGAAGATGAGTAAACAACATACCAACAGAGGCACGGAAGCAGACATAACAGCAACTGCAAAAATACTCCACATTCTCTTCATCAAGATTCGAGATGAAGAACAAACACATACGAATTAAATTTAGTTTTAAATTTGTAATTTCTTTGATGGTTATAAATTTTTGCTTGTGACTCTTACAAACACAATACCACCATATAAAATTTATTTATTTTGATCAAATTAAAAGTAACTCAAAATAAAACTTCCAGACTTAGATAGATACACACTTAGGAAATAATAAAATCTATTAACTAAACAAAAGTTCAGTGGAACTGCAACAAACAATGATGTAGCAATAATAATAATAATGATAGGATAGCGATAAGTGAATAAAAATTGTTTTACTTACTCTTTCATCTCATAACTTGAAACAATGAAGATCAAAAGAGCCGAATTTTGCGTCAGTCTGGACGGGAATGTTCAGAACACGTTAGGATGAAGTTTTTTTTTATTATTTTAACTCTTTTATGCTAACACACAACTGTAAAATAGTACTTTTTTTAGAGTTTGTTTCAGTAATCAGTTTCAACAAATAAATGCTTACTTAAGATTATATAATTCATTACAATAAAATTCTATGCCTTATTTATGAAATAAGTGTGTGTTTATCTAATGAAATAGTCTTCTTAAAATAAGCAACAAATGGAGCTTCTATACAGATAAGATGAAATGTTTAGTCAGAAAAAGACCAATTTAGCAGTACTTTACCAAGAGCAAATAAAATGTTTCTTTATCAAAGTAACTGATAATAACTCTGAACAATATGATAAAAATTAAACATTTCAATTGACTTGTGGTCTACACATCATATCCTGTATAATTTATTTGCATATTTCATTACACATTTTTGAAACCATGAATCGATCAATGTTAGACCACCATTAGAAACCTAGAAGCACTGAAAGACGGCCGTTTCGTCCTGGTATGGGACTCCTCAGCAGTGCGCGTCCACGACTCTTGCACCACGCAGGATTCGAACCCAGGACCTTCGTTATTGTAGGCGAACGCCTTACCATCGGACCACTGGGCCGGCACCTAACGGTGTTAATGTCTAACATGATCAATTCACGGAGTTGCACAACCTCATACACGGTTTTCGGTAGTTACTGTCTACATCCGAACAGGTTGAACTTCACTGGTCACGTCTTCCCACTAGAACTCGGAGAAGATTCCTCACGAAGCTAGTCACTAGTGAGCACAGGTAATTTGCATTGCGGGGGTTGTGAAGATTGTTAAGTTACACATTTTCGAAACCATGAATCGATCAATGTTAGACCGCCATTAGAAACCTGGAAGCACTGGACGGCCGTTTTGTCCAGCACCTCGCAGGATTAGAACCCTGGACCTTCGTTATTGTAGGCGAACGCCTTACCATCGGACCACTGATCCGGTATCTAACGGTGTTAATGTCTGACTAATGTCTAACTACGTGAATTGATCAATTTAGACATTAACACCGTTACATGACGGTCCAGTGGCCCGATGGTTAGGCGTTCGCACACAGTACCGAAAGTCTCGGGTTCGAATCCTGAGAGGTTTAAGAGTCGTGTATGCGCACTGCCACTGATGAGTCCCATACCAGG